AAAACTATAATAAAGCAATATGGTTCTGTCCAAAAGTATTTGTGTGTATTTTTCTTTTCAATTATATAATATATATATATATATATATATATTTATATGTATTTATTATTATTTCAACTTTTAAAATTAGCAAATATTGACATAATTTAGCATAGATCGTTAAATGGCATAAAAAATGCCATTTGATGTTTCACCGCGACATTGGCAAAGAACAGCAATTCATCTATTCCATAAAATTAAAACCAGAAATTCAAGTATTATGCTTAATTCAATATAATTGCAAAAAAAATTAATGCAAATTTGTAGTTTAATATTTGCACAATATCTTTTAAATATATATAAGAAAATATAAAAAGGTTTTATTTGTACTTCCTTACATTTTTTTATAAGAAAAAGCCCGAGTTATGTTTAATTTTTTTTAATTAATTTTGCATACGTTTTGAGTCTCCATTTGACTCGTCTTCAATGCATAATTCCAGAGAAAAATAATAAATATAATTTAAAGAAATAATATAATAAATAATTAAAAAAGAAAACAAGCATGAGGTTTCAGTAACTAGGCTAAAAAAGTTCAAAATTTCCAAAATATTTCAAAATATTACAAACATTTTTTTCCCAAAATGTAATTTTTTTTCAAAAATTTCACAGTTGTCAAAAATTCCCAAAAATCAAATTCAAAAAAGAAAAATTGAATCTTGTTTAAAAAAATCTATTTTTGGTACAGAATGTTCCAGCAATTTGTCTTAAGACAGGATACACTACTAGTTGTTTTAGTTTTATTTGACAGTAGAGTTTTTTTTTCTTTAGTTGCACGTCAGTAGAGTCCTTTTTTTGACAATAAGTATTAATTGTAAAATATGTAAACGTATTATTTTAGCAATAAATCACTTGAGAAGTAATCTAGTGTCTCATCTTGTCAAAAATTTCAATTAGTTTTTAATTAGCAATACTACTGACAGACAACAGGCTGACTGACGACAGATTGACAGGCACCTTTGACACTCGGACGAGGTCGAATAGATACAACTCGGACTTTAGGAATCAATTTTTGTCTTTTTTCCGAAAATTTAATTATTAAAAGAGAAATCGACGAACTAACAGACTTCTCTGACGAGAAAAGACTTCTCGGACTCTACTGACGAACAAATTAAATATTAATCTATTAGAAGAGAAAGGAACTCTACTAACAAGCAAATTAAATAGTGATTTGATATATAAAAACGACTTGTCTGTGCCTATCTATGTTTCAAAATGTCAAATTTTACCTATTTATTTATCTTCTATATATATAAAAATAAGTCGGGTTTTCCTTCCTGATGAAATAACTCCAGAACGCACGAACCGATTTCGACAATTTTACATTCGTTGGAAAGGTCTCGGCTCCGCAAGGTTTATAGCTAAGAAAATTAGTGGTGTATGGCATCGTGCCTTAATGCAAGCTGCTGAAACTTCACGCACCGTAATTAAAAGTTCGAGTAATGACATTAGTGAGAATTATCAGAATTATGCTTGGTTAAGTCAACAAGCACTTCTTGCCGCAAATAATAATGATGTACACGCACTGAATTTCACCATTCAATCAAAAATTGCTGGCGATTTGGTGACATACCAATGATTCCGGCTGGTCTTCCGTTTGACTTCAAACGATTGCAATTTCCAGTTCGCCTTGCGTTTGCAATAATAAGTCGCAAAACCAATCGCTTAGTGTTTGCGGGATAAATTTCAAACAGATTATTTAGAAAATCATTGTTTTTCACAGGGGCAGTT